AAAATTCTCTGTTTAATCATTTTGCTCTCATATTATAAACAGTCAATAAACAGACAAGTCAAGTAAATTATATGTTTAAAATACAATATATTATAAATATATATAACTTTATTTATATATTCATATAACTTTAATTTATATAACTTTATTTATATATTCAACGTTTTAACAAAATATTGAATATATATCTTTTATTATAATTTTTAGCGATGAAAAATGAAAATTTTATGCAAATGAAAAATGTTTATCATTATCGAAAATTAGTTATTTTTCTTCAGTATATTTACAAATCTAGCATTTGAAATTTGTGTTTTAATTTGTGTTTTAATTTTGTATTTTGAGTGAAAATATTAGAAAATACAGGCAATAAAAAATTTATTTTAGAAAGTTACATCAAAAAATCTTCAAAAATTTTCTTTAACTAGAAGTTCAAACAAAAATATTTGGAAAATCAGGAAATTTTTAAAGAGAAAATCTCTTTATAAAATTTGAGTAGACGTCCTGTTACACTATTCCGTATATGCATAAAAATATGCTGTCGTTTGCATATTCCTTGGAAGAAACGTGAATTGTTCACAAATGAAATGAACAACATTTGAGAAAGAAATTTTAACAAAAATGTTAATATACGTGACATAATCATTATAGAATAATTGTAACTATTTTATGGAATTCTGTGAGAAAGTAATTTTATATAAGAAATAAGATGTCTCGCAATAACAGTTCTGTTTCAAAAGAATTATAAGTTATAAAATGATTTTTCGAATGTTTTGATGTGACTTATAAATTACATAACAATCTCATAAAACGAAACAGTAATACATATAAAACTTAAATAAGTATCAAGATTCTAAAACTAAAAAATTTTTATCTTCTTTTAATATACAGTACTAGACAAAATAAATCATACACCTTTGAACAAATTGAATTTGTTAGTATAACTATTCTTTTAACAAGCAAATGGATTATTAGATACAGGAAAGTCGAAGCATTTCAAAGTATTTAAATAAAGAAAATAAGTAAAAGGGAGTAATAAAAATTATGCTCCATTATTTTGTAAAAAATGTATTATTCAATATTGTTACATTTTGCCCTGGACAAAATAAATCATACACTTTTAGAAGTAATAGTTAACAAATAAATAAAGTTAATTCTAATGGTGATTAGTACTTGGTATGGTCACCTTTGGCTGTCCATACCGCTTCCAGTCGGCGAGGCATACTTTCGACTAATTTCTTTAAGTATTCAGGATCAATTTCCTTCCGAGCCTTCTGGAGTGTTGCATAGGACAATGTCTTGTCACTTACGTTCGTTTTATTTACGTTCACGTCCAAATAAGCCCACAAAATTTCAATTGGATTAAATCTGATGATTGTGGCGGCCATTCGACCAGTTTTACCTTATTAGATTTGAAAATTGCAGTGGTTTCTTATACTGTCTGTTATAAAAAATGTATTTAAAATATCTTTAGATTACCTATTTTATTATGTTAGTAGTTGCACGTAAAAGTATAATTATGAATGTATTCGTAAGAAATCATCTCGGCAACGAAGCGTATACGAGAGTAGAAAGTATGGATAGCCACACGTGTAACTGGATTTAAGAACAATATATTGGCGTAATAACTAAAACGAAGATATAGAACTTATAAGCAAATTTTATGAGTAATATTTGATATAATTAAATACGTTGAAAATAAGTTTTTGTCGGACATTTATATATATGTGATACATGAAATATACTACAAAGTTATGAACAGAAAACCTATGTGTCTAAAAGATTGGTTAACAATTTTCTACGCTCACTTAAACATGATGACGACGATCTGCATGACTCATTTTCAAAAGAAGGATGCAATGATTTTAGATAAGTAGATCATAGATAATTTTTGATAACGTATTGAATATTGAATCATAAAATGTGATTTTTATTAAGTGCAAAGTATTAAAAAAAACATTTTTTTGTCTTTGTTTATAATAAATAAAATTAGAAACTAATTTTTTGTATACTTTAGGAAAATATATAAATTATATAAACTTTTATTAAAAAGTGTCTTTATATATATATATATCGAATTATACGCAAAAAAATGTTATAAATTTCATTGGACTTATATTTAGATCTTTATTTTTATTTTAATTGAAATGATAAATTTCATACATATATATATATATATATATATGTATGAAATTTATCATTTCAATTAAAATAAAAATAAAGATCTAAATATAAGTCCAATGAAATTTATAACATTTTTTTGCGTATAATTCGATATTGCTCTGGAAAGTCTTCTGCATTTGCATAATAATAATTAATGAAATGTATAATAATATAGTAAATAATTAGTGACAAGAGGATAAATACAAAAAACATGAAATATATAATACAGATAAATCATTGAAGAGCAACAAGTTTTATTCATAATCACAAACAAAATCACAGTCAAAATAAATGCTGGAATTTCTACATCTATTTATATAAATTATTTGATATTTTACATAAATTTATTACTACTTTTTACAGCATTAAAACAAAAAAATATTTGCTGCTTTAATATATACATTTAGAATGTAATATATAAAATGAAAAAATATTCATATAATTACATCGCATAGTTTTCTAAAAATAGTAAGCATATAAAAGACTGAGAAACTTGCTGAAACATCTGTTTCATAGTGATTTATTCAAAGACTTCATGTGTAGATGGGAAATGAAAATATCGGAAAAAGACTATCGGTCTGTTAATGGAAACTGGTGATTTCGGCGAGGACCGATTCAGTCAATCCATTCGATTATCACTGCCGTTACACTGAACGTTATTTCCAAGCGGAGATTGACTGTTGATGTTTACATGCTAGTTGATAACGTCAATCAAGAAATTTCAGATTAAAATCAATTTTATATCTATTTATTCAGATATATACACTTTATATAATATACTTTACATAAACATTTTGTTTCATCTCATACTTTCAATTATAAAAAAGCACTTATAACTTTTTTAAATTATATGAAGCATAATTTTAGTTAGGCTTTTTCTGCAAATAATTTGTATTATTGTGTAAAGAACATAATGAAATATATGTAGAACGAATATGAATTAATATATTTATTAACATTTTTATTAATATGCACAAATGCTGATAAAGTAATAAAATTTTATGGATCATATTCTCTTAAAATCTTTCAAAATAAAATGTTATAAATCACGAAACCTTATAACAAGACGTAACATAACTCTATTTGTTTAAAACAAGATCCAATTGCTGCATCACAACGAGAATTATTCTGTAAAATGGATTCTCAAATGTTCGTAAATTAATCCGGAATACGAACTTGAGATGTACTATCTGGCTTCAATCCGAAGGAAATTAGATGTTAGCTTATAAAGGTTTACGACAGACTTTCGCATGTGACATTACTTTGCTTCGAACTCAATTTTCCCTAATTCCCTGATTATCTATTTTGGTAGTTACAATAAAATTTTACTTGAACAATATTTTGTATAAAATATAGTTATCTTTACCAAAAAAATGTATAAATATACAATTACAGTATTATATTATTATAGAGTACTAGTTCAAATAACCCATTTTATATAACTAATTTAAAATACGAAATTCATATATATATAAATTGTGTAAAGATATATATTCCTAAAATTATAATTATATATATTATATTTTTAAATGTATTTGACTTATTTTTTTCATATTTACTTTATATTATTTTATATTCTCTCTAAACTTTATAATATAAAATCGATTTATAAATCTCTATATTTTTTGAGAATTTTTCTAATATTATAAAAACAGAGAACTCAATTAGTATCTGTCGATTGTAATTAATAAAGTGACTAAGGATATCTCACAATTTTTTCAGCATGCTTCATTTTCCTTTTCTCCGCATCTTGTTAGAATAGATTCATTGTTCGCCATCTTGGTAGCTCTTTGATCACAAACGATTAACCTTATACAGAAGTACTCTTGTATTTCGAAGTGTGTAGTTGGATTGACGCCAAGGCCTCCTTGAGCGTGTCTTATTTAAGTCTGGTCCGCACAGCATTTGAGATCGCACAGCATTTGATAACAACTTGCTGATTCCGTTGTAAGATAGTTCTAGCGAGAGAGAATTTTCAAGCGAAATTTCGTTTCACGAAAGATTGAACTCTATGCTAAATTTTCTTTTCTTCCATCATAAATATTTTCACTACATGTTTACGAAGAAACTACGTGCCAGGGAAGTTTGGCCATAATATTTGTAACGGAGAGAGAGCGTAGTTCTTTAATTTTTTAAATAAGATTCAGCAGAAATCAATGGCAAAGTATTTATTTGTAATTACATATGAATAATATTTTTTTGTGTAAGCACAGTTACAATTTATTATTTATTTTGTAACTCGTATCTTTCGGCTTTAAATGACTTTCATTTGTATTTTTTATACATTTATATATATACTTATATATGTACTTTTTATACATTTATATACATTTGTAATTTTTATGTAGTGTAAATAATTCCTTAAATATCTAAAGTAAAATATTTACAAGATTTAACAGCATCTAGAAAAAAATAGAAGTCATTATAAAATAGATTACAAGATGTTAAATTTAATACTACTTTTATTTCATTTTTAGATATTTAAAGAATTATTTACAGGTATAAAAAAAAGAATTAAAATCGCTTTGATTGTGATTCATTGATTCCTTAAAACAAATTGAAATTGAAATTAAAATTGAAATTGCGGTTTTATTTAATCTTAAATATTAAGTGTTGTAATTTAAAATAAAAAACAAAAACTAAAACAAACTTCAAAATCAAAAAGATTAAAATAAAAAATCAAATAATAGACTTAAAATCTAGATAACTTTGTAATTGATGAATCTCTAATCCTACCTAATGAGTCTTATTTCACTTCCTTTCTGCTTATAAACAGTTTATAAATAATACTAAATACGTATTCAGGAATGATATACATATATCATCTATCGTTTTCGCAGGTGATTCATTGCAGTGCACGCCTTTGGATCGGGCATACAAAAGCAAAGTATTGGGACATTATCCAGATTCAGTACCATGGAATCCTTTCGACGAACATGCTGTGTGCATGGTATGCATATCTATTATAATAACTAGCTGCTAATTGTAATTAGAGTTGAAGATTCCGCATTTTGGATAAAATCCATGTCAATGGTAAAAACTGGTATTTTCCGGCAAAAACAAATCTTCCTTTTTTAAAAATGTTATAATAAATAGAAAACTTTCTTATCTATATATGTTCATCAATTGAGATATTTTCTAATTTAAATTTTATTCAAAATAAAATCAGATAATATGTTAGAGAGTAGATTATAAATCGATGTAACAAATAAATTAATTATTTATTAAAATATATTGAATGGCAAATGCAAATCAAATCTATATTAGTAAAAATTGTTAAATATATAGAGATAGTCTATTTGTGTTGATATTTAGATATCTAGAACTTTATTATTCACTTTCTATTTTTTTTTAAATTGTTAATTCTGTTATTACTATATTTTTCTCATTAAACTAAAAATTAATATAAAATTTACTAACATTTACATCTCCAAAGTTTTTATTTAAAAAATTTCACATATTTATTTGAATTACTATAATTAAAACTATTATAATATTGATTTTATTCTTTTTTAATTATAGTAACTAGTATGGGATTTATTAATTAAAGCATACATTTTTTTTGCAAGTTATATAAATATATTTTAATGTTATGTATTAGTTTTTGCCAGTTTATTTATTGGATAAAAAATCCGAAATTTACCATGTTTTTTTCCATTTATTGGACTTTTCCGGACAACTCCGTTTGTATATAATTCGAAAAATACGAAGACCTTAACAGCTGAATAAATATTTTCATTTATTAATAACATGTAAATAGATTTAATATTTAGAGATACAATACACTTTAAATTATTAGCACATCTAAATATTTATTTATTAATATATCTACTGATATTAATATAAACGCATGTATTTATTCGAGTGTTAATAAAATTAATTAAAAATAAATGTAAAACATTGGAGAGGTAGATTCAAAGTGTTTTTAGCGATATTCTCTACCGTTAATTAGATTCAGAGAACATTTGCGTCGCACAGTCAAGGGGAGTAACTTATCGATTACATTGATAATAGCTTTGTCTGCCAAGCGGTTTGCGCTTTCGTACTCAAAAGCATTCGGTGGAGCCGACCTTCCATTCCTTCGTCCTGACGAAGGAAGATGGTCATAGAACGTATGGGTTCAGCCTTGTTTTCTACGAGGAGTGCCGCAATCGCAAAATATGCGCTGCAATGCAAACGTTACAGGCGATGCACATCACGGAGCTCAGTAGCGGTCAGAACGGCACACCTCCCACGTACGTCTACTTTCCGTATAATATAAGTATATTTGTAATTTCTTTTATATAAAAATCGACATTTTCTTAACGCTAGATTTCACATCTGATACATTGCAAATTTTTATTTTTAGATAAAAATTTTAATTTATCTTGCCAATTTTCTTTCTCTCTGTTATTTCTTTGTATTATTTTCATCATAAAAATTTCTAAAGCATGGTTTGATTTTTCAGAGCGAGGAAGGGCCAGGATGGACACAACACAAGATCGTTACCACGTCATTTTAAATTATCAGCCCATTCACCTGGTGCTGCATTAGGATACTATGATTCTATCAAAGACAAGTTGCTAGTGACCAAATCAATATCCTTGCTATGCCAACAGCCTTACCTCTACGCGGCAAAAACGTTCCTCACTAATCTTTACAAGTAGGAAATTTCACAAATTTCTATAAATCTCTATAAATTGTTTATGTCATGTATTGTACACTTATTCACGTTATAGTCAAATATTTATAACAAACAATTTAAAATAATATTAAAAGAAATAATGCGAAATCTTATAATTAATTATAATTTAATATTATAATTTATAAATTTATACTTTAATATTATAATTTAATTATATTATGTGTTAAATTATATCTAAATTATATCTAAATTTTGTCAACCAATGAACACAAGACAGTAATTTGATTTTTAAGGAAAATTTATTTAAAAAGAATATAACTTTTTTCTTGTGTAATTTATTTCTTTTATTATTAATTTTTGTTATAAATTTTTGTTGGATTCTTTCGGATATTATTTTCATATTTCCAAAGAACGAAAAACTAAAGTAAACTGTTAATTATAATTTTTCCTAATAATTATAACATCTACATGTGTTGTTATACAAATATTTTGCATCTATTGCATTATGACTACATTGAAATTCGTGTAACGCGCAACGTTTTATATAAATAGTACATGATTTCTTCGAAATACTTCGATAGAGACTACACTAACAAAAAATTCTTTAATTAATCTTTTTATTATGCTGTGTAGATCTGTTTTAGAATATGAGAATTTCTTAGAAGCGATAAAATCATTACTGTTTTACATTACAGAATTAACGGGCAAAATATATAATATATGTAGTAATATAATACTACATTATATATATATATATATATATATATATATAAAATTATACATATATATTAAGGATTGTAATGATCAATGAAATTTTCAGGTGTGTTCCTAGACATCCTGGGCCTGGGCTTAGCTTAGAATCTTATGTCTACAATATTCTGTATAATGTACCGGTACCATTGTCTGGCAAATCGTTGAAGTTTTTCGTACCTAATGATGAACCAGCGAAATTACCCTTGGAACTGGTTATCTATCAACCATCTCCGTTGCTGGAGCTACCGATGTTGGACTATCCTCTCAAGGATATATTCACGTGGCTAGGTGCAGATTGTCTAATCCAGTTATTCACGTGCGTTCTGTTAGAGAATCAAGTTCTCTTGAGAAGCGCCGATTTTCACAAGCTGATGGTGGTATCCGAATGTATAACGGCGCTCTTGTTTCCGTTCTCTTGGCAACACGTCTACGTGCCAATATTGCCTGCCAGTCTGCATCACTTCTTGGATGCTCCGGTGCCCTTTATAATGGGTCTGCATGCGCAAAGCGAGGGCGGCGTATTGAAGATTGCTAGTGAAGTATGTTTTCTTAGAATTCTTTTTTTATACTTTATTTTTGTTTATTGTATTCGAGAGGAAACAATTACATCTAAATAATGCATAATATTATCATGTAAATCTTCAATTAACCGCGATTTTGATATTTTAATAATTATTTGACAATTTTTATTTTGATATCTTTTTTTTACTAATATAATAATGAAAATTCAAATATCCAGTACTATAGATTTATTCATTGATATCATACATCCAGAATTGAAAAACGTCAATTTTGTTTTTTCATATTAATTAAGATGTATCTTGAATCAGAAAAAATTATATGTTTGCTTTTTTATTATTAATTTTTTTCTGTAGTCTGTTGATAATGAAAAATTAAGACAATTGTTTATTAGCCAAATGTAATGCTAATCGTGTTTGTTCACAGGCAAATCTTTGTTATGTAGATATAGATAAACAGAGTAGCCAATTTCCGGAAGAATTACCTGTGTTTCCTTATAAAATGCAGTTTATTACTGAGATTAGAGCGCTTCTGAACAAGTACAAAGTACCACATTCAGGAAAGTGAGTTAATCTTTGTTTTTAATTAAGATGAAAATCAGGATATTACTTTGTATTTAAACCGAACAAAAAAAAATTTTACTAGGACTGATAACATGGTTATAAATTATTATAATGGCGACATCATGACCAGTAGTCTGACGCTTCCTGGTTCTGGTTTTCATCTTCCTCGCAGAAAACATTCTCTACACGACGTGTTAGATTGGGATCGGCCGGAACCAGAGCCGCAATCGGACAATTTGCAAAGAACAATAGATAAGAAATTAGGTAACGTGTAAAATATTTTTCTATGTTTAGAAATATATTATAATAAAAATTATTTTTAAATTCTTGATTTTTTTTTATTACAGTGAATGTAGACGATATTGATCCTACAGAGGATATTATGTCGGAAAAGATACTCACGCCGCAAGAAGAATATCGAGAGACTCTCGATTTCAATAATGCTGTTAGAGAGATCTTTTTGAATCGTTTTGTACAAATGTTTTCTAGTTACGAACATTTTGTTATTCAACCGAGTCAGGTACGAAATGTAAAATTTCTGAAAATTAAAAATTATGAGAAATATGTACATATATATAGTTATTGCTTAAAAAAATTAATTTCTAATATATATATATATATATATATATATATATATATATATATATTATCCTTCAATGTAATATATATATATATATATTACATTGAAGGATAAAGATGAATGGATCAATAATAGGGATAGTATGCACGTTTTCGACAAAGCCACGTTTTTATCCGACCAGCCTACGCCACATCTGCCATTTTTGTCAAGATTCCTGGAAACGCAGATGTTTGCCTCTCTTGTTGATAGTAAAGTGATGTCAACGTGGAGCGAACTCGATTGTAATATTAAAGTCTTCGATCAAAGAATTTCCGCTTTAAAGTAAGTCTTAATAATATAATATTATAATAATAATATAATATTCGGATGTCTCGAATTTAAATGTCAAAATTTTGGAAGCGTGTCAGGGATCGATAAACTAAGAAAAAATTTCAAGAGATTTTTGCTTCGTTTTGGAGAAAATCATAAAAAAGTAAAAAAGTTTTCATTTTTTTATTTATTTATATTTATTTCGTGTTGTTACTTTCTTTTAATGGAGATATTATTAAAAAAATGTATAAATATATAAACATAAACAATAAAATAAACAGGATACAATAATTCTGTATTGTATATATTTACAATCTCTAATTTAACTTCAGGGAGATTTTAATTCACTCTTTTTTTTAATTACGTTTATTTTTATTTCATAATATTTTTCGATAAATTTAATTTAATGTTATTTTGGTTTTTAGTTTTTTTGCGATTTTCTCCAAAAATAAATAAATTTTTAAAAAACTTCTTTTCTTAATTTATCGATCTTTTAAACGTTACCATAGTTTTAACATTTAAATTCGGGATGCCCTATATAATGTTTTTCTTCAAAATTTTAATTATTTTTGTTTATCTGAATTATAGAAAACTTTTTAATATTTAATTGATATTTTCTGTATTTTAGAAAGAAAGTTGGAGAAAGCATCATACGATCAATGCGATATGAGCCTTACACAAACATTACAGATACACAACAAATACTCAAACAGAGATTAACCAATGTAGACTTTGAGACGAATCCGCCTACGGAAATTCTTCCTCATAGAGCCGCATATTTTCGCAGTTTTCCTTTGTTAGATAACGTCGTATTAAATAAAGAACCAGCTCAAAGGTTTGATATGATTATTCACAATGTTTTTAATTAGATATAATCTGTTATTTTCAAATTTATTAATGTTTACTATCTCTATTTTGTGCTTCCTGTGTAGTATACTTCGGTAAGAAATAACTTTTATTATAAATAGAATAGAGTAATATCGCTTTCCTTAAAGCGCGTTAAGTCTCTAATTCGTAAGGTATTTTTCATCTAATGTTCAAACTTATTTCGAGAAAAAATTTTATGTATTATATAGTTATATATATATATATATATATATATATATATATATATATTATATACTTCATTTATTTTTACTATAATTTTTTTAGAAATGTGCTTTAATATATATATTTACAAATCGTAGTGTGCTCGCGGATTAATAATGATACAACTAGATTTTTTCCTCGATCGCTTTCTTTTATCTACAGTAGTAGAAGAGGCCAGACACAGTGGAAATACAAAATGAAATCTATGGATACAAATGGGAAACCTGTAACGCCCCAAGAATCTCAGTCGCCTCGACCTCAAACTAAACTTTCGACGGACATGAGTCCCGCTTTAATAGCGCAAGCTAATTGGACATTCGTAGAAAAATTGCTCAAGGTACTTGCTTCCTTACAGCTATGATTTAACACAATTATTGAATGTCTTATTTCAACTATTTTTATTCGTTAAATATATATATATATATATATATATATATATATATATATATATATTAAATAGTAATCAATATATTAAATAGTCATTATTATTATCTAAGATAAAATGATGTAATACACGCCCCATTTCTTAAATCAATATAAAATATACTTATGATGAACAGATTTTATATTAATTTATGAAGTTTATACAAAAAATTACTAATATTATAATTAATTTTTGATTAATTAAAGTATTCTAGTTATGATATTTTTGAAAATATTGAAAAGGACACTTTTTTCACGACTTCAGTGAAAAATACCTCAGATAACTATAATCAATAAAATAAAAATATTTTTTTTTTTATTTTAAAATTTGATAAAATAAAATTTCATATTTAATAAAAAACATAATACAGTTTGAATATTTACAAGGATTATAGTTTGAATATTACAAGGATTATAGTTTGAATGTGTATTGTATGTATGTAAAATCACATTCAGAGCATTTTCGTACAGTCTCTCGACGTACTATCGTCGTATCTATCGATTTTCGTTTCAATAAGACTGGTAAGCTCATTATATTTGAGCAATAAATGGAACATTTTTCTAATTTGCCGGGGAATATTACATTTGTTGTATGCTATATATAAAATTATTACAATTTGCCGGGGAATATTATATTTGTTTTATGCTATATATATAAAATTATTACAATTGTAAAGTCATTATAAGTATGTTATTTTGTGATAAGGATTGTAAATCCAAGACAAAAAGGATGTTGGTGGAGAAAATGGGATCGGAAGCAGTCGCACTTGGTCACGGAGGCGAATCTCTATCCGATGTTGAGGAGAATACTCTAGTCGCTAGTCTTTGTGATCTATTGGAACGAGTATGGAGTCATGGACTGCAAAACAAGCAAGGCAAGAGTGCTCTTTGGTCACATTTGACCATGTACCAAGAATCGGAGGAATGTAACGATGCGACCAAGTCTATAGATGCCAATTTTCTTTCCCCTGGTAAGATATGCATCATGTGTTTCAGCGTTGCGCAAAAAAATTACGGTTTAATATATTTTTAAATATTTATACATATTTCTTGTATAATATAAATATATAAGTACATATATACATATATACAAGAGAATAGTAATAATTCATCAATCACAAATTAAATATTATTATTTTGCGGAAATGCAGCGCTAGCGTGGTCCGTGCTGCGGAAACGACTCGATTGTACGTGTCTCCGTTTTATAATAAGATAAAGTGTTATAAAAAGTAGAGATTAGTTCTTCGTACGTAGATATCCTGCACTGTTAGTTTTGTAAGTGATCCACCAAAATAGTTTATATTACGTATTTACGCTGCGCCGCACGTATTACTCGAGTAGAAAGATATTTTAGAGCATAATATAAAAAATTAAATTAGCAATAAACACACACACACACACACACACATACATACATATATGTACATATACAATCTGTGCGCAAGATTTATTATTTTCCTTTATTGTTCTTAAGTTTAATTTTTCTTTCTTTTATTTCATTTTATGTTGTAATTAGCAAAGAAATCTCCGAATAAGTTTTTCGGAATACCGGACCGTTTGGTTTCATCCTTGAGAGGCAAAAGTATTATTGAAATTGCTTCTTACATCAAGGAAAATTTGAATGGTAAGCCTCGATATTGGCTTGCCATAAAAAAAAAGAAACACGCGGGCTAATTTAATGATGATATTTTTCTTTTCTTTGCATCCTATTGCATCTTTTGGAATTGTATTATAAAAAGCTCGTAAATGTGCATAATTAATAAATATTAATTATTTTATAGAGTGACATTTTTTTATTACATATTATTTTAATATTTCTGTTTAAAGAAATCCATAATTTCTAATAATTTTTATGGAAACAAATGCATGTTAAATATTATCATAATACTGATATGTATGTTACAATGGAAACCTGAAGATCCCTCAAAATTTTAGTTGGAAATTCTAGTTATAATTAAGCCCTCTCGGCAATTCGTGTAGTTCTAATTGAAATAATTTAGTTAAAACTAGAATTAACTGACCGTTTTAGTAAATTCACGTTTTAATTAAAATAATTTAGTTAAAACTAAAGTGTTGACTGCATTAGTATATTCACGTTCTAATTGAAATAATTTAATTAAAACTAAAATTGATTGATTGTTAATGAATTCGGAATGGAAAGCCAAGATATAGCCAAAGTCACGGTTCAGTTGAAAGAGCCAATTAGAACATAGAAAATATGTTAGCCTGATGAATAAAAGAAAATAATATTGCCAACTGGTCGAATGATCTTAAGTTTATAAGAAATAAACAATTTATAAGAAATAAAATCCTTTCTTTAGGAATCAAACAATTACTTTATGCAGCGCGAATTGTCAAGTGGATTTAGTCAAAATTAAAATTTCGCAGTAAATTCGGATTTGATGGATTACAAGTTTTAACTGTAACATATATATATATAAATTATTTATAGAGAATATATGTGTACGTGTGCGTATATACTTTTGACAGTTTGTAAAGCATGATGTCGGATTTGCATGTGCATATTATTATCTGCAAAAATATGTATTGAATACAATCAAAAGAGAGAATGACTGTTTGAACAAAAAGAATATTATTCTTGTTTTCGTTTTGTCTATATATCTTTTGCTTGATTGGAAGAAGAAATGTCTGTTATCTAAAATATTTTATTGCGATAGATTTGTCTAATTTGCAATTGGAAACGGACGTTTCGCCCACGAGGGGTACGGACAAATATAAATCTCCTGGTGAGAGGAAAACCGTCGGTCCGGAACACTTAAGGCCTCTTCCGGACTCTCTAATTTTCGACATTCGTAACGTACAAGCCATGACTGATATTAAAACACACATTGGATATGCAAGAGCATGGGTGCGATTGGCTCTTGAAAAAAAATTGCTGTCACGCCATTTGAAAACGTTATTGTCAGATAGTGCTTTATTGAGGTATGTTTTGAAAATGATTAAATATAGTATAATTTTCACGCCCGATATAGTACTAGCGATACAATATTCAACAAATTATATAAAGCTAAATAATAAAATAATAATATCTTGTAACACTTTACATGAAACATTCTGTATATCTTTTATTATAAATTTTAATATTTTAATTTAAATATTTCATAACAATGATTTTGTAAATGAATAGGATATGAAAAAATATAATAAAATTAATTATATAATTTGTTTTCTATTTGCTGTGATAAGGATTCAGGACATTCAAAAATTATATCACTACAGAAATAAATTATATATAATATATATTATATATTTTATATTATATATTATAGTATATTAATTATATTGCGATATTTTAATATTAATATTAGTAAAAAAATGAAATGTTATTAATATATATTTTAAAAATTATAGAATATTTTTTAATGCATACAACATAAATATATAGAAGATTTTGATTATTTCAGAACAAATAACTTTTTAGATTATTTTCATAACTGCGATCTGTTCATAATAGATTTGATTTTTTTTAAATATTAATAATTATAATTGCTTATCTTTCAATGATTTATTAGGAGTCAGTATAAACGATCAGCATTTTTACGCTGTGAGGAGGAGAAAGAACAATTTTTGTATCATCTTCTGACTCTTAATGCTGTTGATTATTTCTGCTTTACAAACAATTATCCGACAACAAAATTACCGTATCGAGTTGTGATATTTCCCAGCCGAAAAGCAAGCGCCGCTACGACTTCGGCTAATAGTTGGATTGCTATTTCCGGTACGCTCTGTGAAACCAATCCCGTACCTATACCGAAAGGAGCGTTAGAATTTGTATTTCATGTAGGTATATATTTTATATAACTGCTATTTAATGCTTTATTAAATAAAATTATTAACTTCTCTTAAATTTTAATTAAATGAGTTCTATTGAAACTATTTCTATTTTATTATATCTATTAATATTCCTATCATATTTATTAATTATTTCATTTTTTATAGAATAGACACATTTTATTATAATTATTTTCATGTATTTTCTCCCTCTTTAGCATAAAAATTTAGGTGTGTTGTCTACATTAAGAATTGGACACGACAATACTGGATTGTCGCCAAAATGGATGGTGGAACATGTTGTAGTGCGAAATGAAGTAACTGGACACACATTTAAGTTTCCTTGTGGTCGTTGGCTTGGCAGAGGAATAGACGACGGATCCACCGAGCGTTTATTAGTGGGTGCTTTGGTACCACGTAGTATTGATAGTGAAGAGTTGGTGGAATCATGCTCTACGCCACCGAGATGTAGATCTCCGAGTATACCTAGACGTCCCATACTATCGCAAGTCGAACTGCAACACATGCTTGGTAAATTAATAATAGTACTATTTATTGACTTTGATTCTGACTATATTGTATTCTGGGTACATTTGTTGTTAATTGAAGTAGATATTTAATTTATTCTATATGTTAATATTTAGTATTATTATATGCGTAGGGGAGAATGTTATTAAAAAAACCTGTTATTAAATTATAATGGTGTTGAAAAAAGTGACAAAAAATTCACATATATAATATTCATATTTCAAAGATGATAATTTTCTTATTATAATTAATTTAAAGATTCAAACTATATAAAAAACTTAAGAAAAATATAATTTTAAATGAAATTATTAGGTGAAGCTGTAAATGCCATAGTCAAATATCACTACAGAAGAGAGTGTCAAGACGGCTCTTTGACAGCTCTGTTGTGCGGAGAGGGCGGTCTTGTGCCATCTTTAGAACAAATATTTCTATTTGGTTTTAAAAATCAAAGAATATTTGGAAGAAATTTCTACGTATGGGATTACTTTTGTGAGCATAATCAATCATTCATTTATAATCATCAGAAAAAAAACAGAGATTAGAACAATATATAACTGAATCTATTGCAGTGCGCGTGAAAGAAAATTTTGAGATTTCTTTGCTGGAGGAAATGGATGAGTATTCTCAAAGACTTAATCGAGATAGAAGAGTATATACGGAGAGCAGCCAAAGATTTACTATTTTAAGATGTTACTGTCATCTCATTGATCAAATTAATATGTTTAGTCAGACTTTAGGGAAAGATGGAAAATTTCAATTATTTATCTGTTTAGCAGCGAGGTAAATTTTGTAAATATCTTTGATGATATATAGAGTGTTCTATTTTAATTGATTATTTATCTTTTCTTCTTATTTAAATTTAATCGTCAATGTGTAATTTTCAGAGAGCAACTTCTACATCCAATGTTACGTCCGATGAGTGACGCGCGTTCTACGGCAGATATGTACGAAGAAAATTCGTTTCTACGAAATTCTACATTATTGACTTTTCTCATTCATATTCTCGAGCCATTGAGCGAGTTCCATATTGTCCTCGAGAAGAGCTTGACTCACGGAATCTCTAGTATATGTTAGTATTTGCCAAATGGTATCAATTGTAGATATTCCGTGTTCCTTCGGTAAGTGTTGCGAATTATATGAAATAATTATAATCGTAAAAAAATCCACATCAAGCTTTCCAACGTTATATAATAAGAATGTATTTGTTACATGGCGTTTTTAATTATTGACGAAATTAGAGAATAATTAAGAGCCTTTCATAAATAGGAACACACCAGGAACATACTTTTAATTGATAAAAAAGCCAATTAATTCTAAACAGTAACAAATGAGAAATTCAATTGTTATTACGTATGACGATAAAAGATTCGACAAATTTTATCATTAAGGAAAATTTAAAAATATGTAATATTAAATCTAAAGACTGTTACGAGGATGTAGCTGTACCATATGCGTCTTTAAACAACAAATTAATGACAAGAAATAATATGAGATTTATTAGATATAATATTAAATAAGAAGAACATATAGATCTCGTCCTATTTCAGAAACTTACAATAATATCTTATCGGTGATAAAAAAATTAATATATAATTGAAATATATTTGGCCCTATCTTGCCATAACTATTAATAATGCGATAAAAATGGAGTGTTGAAATATTTATACTAGTGAAGAATCATGTACCAAAGATGTGATCCCATTTATTCAGTTTATATCATTTTGTATTAGCCTTTGTTATTAAATATTAAGTTTTTAACATTGTCGTATATTTTGGATGCATGCAGAATATTCTGAAATCATTTTTATATTTATACTGATACACGTACAGATTAATGATAATTTTTTAATTCTAGAATAAAAATCTTGATATGAAAAATTATCACAAAATATTCACGTACATATGTATAATCTATGAGTCTCGTTCAAAAAAAATACTAGAAAGAAAGAATTATCTTTTTTAATGGCTGTGCTTCATATTTGCATGCTATAAGATTGAATATAATTTGTATTAATCGCGTGAGTACTAACATGACAATTTTATGTTATAAGTATAAGAAAAGAAAAGAGTGATTATCACATCTCCTTTTCTATTACTGCAATTTATTTTTCAATGTTCGCGAATGAACTTTTTTATTTGATTCCATATTCGGCGCCATGGAATAAAAATTTCTACTATGAGATTTATAATCTTAAACTTACACAAATTTTGTTTTTATTCCAATGAGAGATATTAAAATCCCTTCAAATCAAACTAAATCTTAATCTGCGAGATAGTATATGAACTGGGATCGAAACTGTAATTATCAGATGATAATTAATTAAACTTAATTATCAAATGATTACTTTAATTAATCTATATTTTATGTTTAATTATGGTTGCAAATTTTAATAAGGTATATACATTCTAAGTTACAATCGTACGTAAGTGTAAAAAAGTCTTTTGATTTTATTATAAGAATTATCTTTCTTAATTCTTTTGATGTTTTGCGAATTTATACTTAAATAATAATTTATGTACAAATTTATTATTTATATATTTTATCGTAACCATATAAAAAAAAAACAAGAAAACTGTCATTGAATTTCATCGCAAATGGACCAAATGACGTAACCATGTTTAGAATGCTCCATCTTTCTAAGAAAAATCGATAAATTAATAAAGAATATTTGTTTATTTTCTTGCATGATTTATGAAATAATAAATGAATAAACTTTTTGATCAATCAAATATTGCTCGATCAGAAATTATTATTAAAAATTTGATATACATGGTCTCTTTATAAGTAACATGGAATAATAATATTGTGACTATTATAAAAAATAATTCCTAAAGTACAATCCTACAAATATTTCTCATTGACTCAAAACTTTATTGGACACTCAAGATTCAAGAACTGTTTGATCAATTTTTTTTCAAACTATAATATATATATATCTTAATTCTACAATATTAAATGTCATTTTGTTATAATATCTTGATATTTGTATATTAATTGGCAAAAAAATATCAAACAGTTTGACCAAATATGAAATTATAATTAACTTTTGCATTAATCTATATATATATATATATATATATATATATATATATATGTATATAATTCTTCCTTTACAAAGATGACGTACCGATTTCCTATTTATTTTCAATTATTCGGTTATTATTCTTGCATTATAATAATCGCGCTTAACATTTGATGGTGATTAATGAATTTGGAATTAGAAAGTAGAACACATATACATGTGCACATATATACACGATTGTCCTTATAATTTAATTTACAGTAATAGCTTATTTGAAATTATGAGAGCCATATGTTATAAAGATTGTACTATCTTTAAATTTTCGCATTTTTATCTTGCAAAATTTTATTAAATTTCTTCAATATATTTTTAAATATATGTATTAATATACGTATTTGAAAAAATATTAATTCTGTATTTTTATTACAATATTCAAAATTAAATCAAAATTATTAATGAGTATAGCATATTTTGAAACTAGATACATTATAAAATATAAACCACTTATTTTAAAAAGTGTAAATTCAACGTCGCACATTTTGTAAAAATTGATTTATATTTACATATTATAGTTTTCATTATTTAAAAAAAGCATCAATTTTATGTTAATAATTTATTCAAAATGAATAATTCGCATATTCCTAGAACGATATTATACACATATAGCAATATATAATATTATCATCTTTTGAAAAACGTGTTTATTCCAATATTATCTTTTATCCTACATTATGATTGTAATTAATAATAGTGTAAAGAAAAAAATTGATTAGAGAACGGCGTCGTAATTAATTTAGTTATTTCATTTAGCTAACTTTTATATTGGAATTTCATTACTGGTGTAATACTGGATCACAATATTCTATATCTAATGATTTAATTATATATTACATCTAATATCAAAAAATTTGATAACTTAAAGAAATGCACTATATATGATTTAGCATCTTACTTTAGTTTTATTATATATATATATATATATATATATATATATATATATATAATTTTGAATTATAATAAATTAATTTTTGCTACACATATTTTACATTTGTCTTGCATTTTTTATTATGCGTCTTAGAGTTATATCTATTCATTATATCTAGTCATATTTATCATTACATCTATTTCATATTAAATATCGTATCTTTAAAGTAATTCTAAATATAATAGGAGATACATAAATTTTTATTTTAAGATTACGTCAACCATAAGCCACCAAAGTATCTTTGCTCTCTTCCACAATCTATTCCAAAGGTTTGTAACTATTTAAAAGATATAGAATATTATGATAAAAATCAATGTATTTCATCATAATCAAATTTACCTCTTGATTTACAATATATATCGTCAAAGAGCTAAGGATCTAATATCAGAGTTTAAAAAATATACTTTTTAGGATTTAGACATGGATTAGGAACGATATTCTCTCTCTTTATTATTATAAATGGAATTAAATGTATTTGGTATTATATATATCAAAGAGTAGAGTATGCATTTTACTATTAAAATTGACGATGCATTTATATTATAATTTGTCAATATATTTAAAAAGGAAAACTATTTATCCTATAATAATTTCTATTTCTATGAACAAAATTATATTATCATTCAGTCGAATTATCATTGTAACTAACCATCGATGTATTGATAAGAAAAACTGACTTAATCTAAAGATTTATAATCATTATGTATTGTCGTTTTTTGAAGTGAATAAGAATTTCTTATTTATATACGTTTATACAAAATGTTTGGGAAATTTAAATTTAAATTTTTAAATTTGAATTTTAAATTTAAATTTTTAAATTTGAATTTTTAAATTTGAATTTTTAAATTTGAATTTTTAAATTTGAATTTTTAAATTTGAATATTTAAATTTGAATTTTTAAATTAAAATATTAAATTTAAATTTAAATTTTAAATGTTAAATTTAAATTTTAAATTTTAAAATTTTAAATAAAAAAAAAATTTAAAAAAAGGGATGTCAAGTGAATTATGAATTACGCAATATTTTTAACATAAAAGTGACTATAACTCGGAAACGACTTATTTCCGGACCTATGTTTATACAGCTTTTTTTCCTTCTTTTTGGGTCCCGAATCACTTCCCAAAGTGCGAATGATTTCCTGAACATTCTGTATACCTATATGTCCATTTATAAATAACATGTGTACATTTATAAATAAAAAATTCTTATTCATCGAAAGACGACTATGAATGCCGACTGTTAGGTCTCCTTTAGCAAATAAATGAAACCTTTTTTCGTTTCAAAGGCGTTACGATGTTTTAAGTCTTTTAATTCGGTATGCCATCTTTGTAAAAGAATCAGTTCTCTCTCGAGTTAGAATAAGCGTTATCCAAAAATTATTCTTGTGTTTTGTAGCCGATATTATGTGATCATTTTAGATAAGGAAAGAATAATATCCGCTTATTTATACTTTCGTAAGTAATGTATACTGTGTACTGTGTCTTCTCCGTATCCAGATTTATCCCGCGACTGCGTTTTATGTTTTGTCACGTTGATAGAGTCACATAGCTCTACATGCGATCAAGAAGTTTCATCATAAATTTTTATACGTATACTTCGAATTATGTATTTTCATCTCATTAACTTTATATATATATATATATATATATATATATATATATATATATATAATATATTGTAATATAAACTCGAGGAGTACAAAATTGTAAAAATAAAGCGCTTTTCGTGACGGCGTCAATATATAAGGACACACGGCAGCGATACTTCCTGAGCTCAATAATCATACCGATTTAATACTCATTGCAGTAACTTAGTAATTTCGTAGCTCGCTCATTATTGTAAGATCGTTGCCGTATTGTGTATATATATACATATGCATGTGAATTATATTAAAATTCCGTGTATAAGAAGTTTTACAAAGCATGCATTCTATAAGATGTATATATTGTAAGGTATATTATTATGTACACACACACAGAGTAGAATATAAAGTATTATCCAAAGAATTAATAAGAATTTATGTATATTAATCTCTGTTTTTATATTATTTATATCAAGAATATACTTTGCACTTCTTATAGAGATTAGGACAATAAAATAGTGTAAAGCAAAGATTTTTCAAAGATTTGAGTTTTAGGAAATAAAATTATTTATAAATAATATTATTTAGAAAATAAATAATATTAGAGAGAGATTAGAATAATCATTTAAATAAACTTCCAAATTATTTTTTTCTAATATTGATGTGTAATATAGAAATATTATTTTTCAAAGTATATATTCTTTTATATAATTAAAAGAATATTTTTTTTAATTAAAAAAATAAAAATATATTTTTTACGTTGTGTTTGATTTTATTTCTGAACAAGAGAGCGAGACTTTGGAAAAAATTATATCTTTATGTTACGTTTCCCTTATCACGCATCGAGAAAGATCGAGACAAGAAAGGGAAGAAACGATAAATGATAAATAAGATACATACAAAAGTATTTGTATAAAATATCGATAGTTTATTTTCAATCTTTTGCGTTGCCGCGAGGATGCGTAAGATATGTACACAGACGTCGGATTATTTTACGCAGTACAATTCTCATCTATGCATTAAAAGAATTTACGTGCTAGCTTTAAAAATAACGCATTATAAATGTTTCGTTTTCTTTGTTTTCTGACTCGGTAAAAGCTACGGTAATGATGGGATATATCAGGCATTTGATGAATATCTCGGGCGAAGTGTGATTTGAGGTATATCAGTGGTATTCTATTGCGCGCTATTAAAAAAAAACGAAGAGACAAAAAAAATAGTCGATTGGTCTTGATGGAGACCGGTGAAAAGTTAATTCCGTAGAAATATATACGTGACATGTACATGTGTGTCTAACCGATTGTATATATGTGTGTATATGTGTATGTGTGTATGTATTTACTTATAAACGTAAAATTGATAAATGAATTGATAATCGGAGTATAGCGGAGTATAATTTCCGTTTATGCACAGATCGCACATGAGGAGATTATATTTCCTTATTTAAGAGGCTCGATCTTAAATTTCCAACGAGATCTTCTCGTCTTTATAAGAAAAAAGAAAACTTAATTCGCTGATTTATTCTATCGCTCCTATTTACATCGAGCTTAATTTTCTTTTCCTCTGACGTTCTCTCTCGTCATTGATTTTGATTCTTCATGACTGATTCTCATTAGTTTTCTTTAAGATATTTCGAATAAAAATTTCTTTAGATACGCAATATATTGCCAAGTCATATTTACTATTTCCAAACTGTCGAAAATCATAGAATCTCTTCTGATTGAAGTTAATGAAATACAATGAATTGAATTACTTATAATGACTTCATAGATCGGTTTTCTCTTCAGCGCTATCGCTTTTTTATATACATTTCTCGCTGCTTAAACGCTAAAAACACACATCGACGCTCGCGTCCTACATCTCTCATTCGCTCTCAAACAACCTCTGTCTCTCCTTAGGAACCTGCGACATTACGCGGCATTACATTTCAACGTAATAATAAATCATCGCACACACGGCGAGGGAATATTTTGTTTTTTAAAAAAGAAAAAAAAAAACTCTTTGAATTACATTAATTATATATATAATATGTACACACGCGACCGCAACAAGTGAATACAATCGCATCCCCGTTTGTTTTCTTAAATATAAAAATCAGGCGCGGTTAATAATTCTCAATTGGTATTTCGCAGTAATTCCGCGATACTAAAAGACTCTTCTTTGATTTGAGAAAAGAAAGTTTTCATTTTTATAAAAATTTTATACATTAACGTAATTTTATCTAGATTCTCTTCTCTGTGTGTATAACTGAATAATTATACTTTTATTATTAAACAATCTCTCTCGTTCTTACTTGGAACAATATTTTGCGAAAAGAACTCAATTTCTGAAAAAAAGAAAAAAAATAGAAAATATATCTTTCCTTAGATTTTCCTTTCTCAACTCAAAGATTTTATGACGAAGATAGATCTCTTCTTATCGATGAATGGGTTTCATCAATGATGCTTTACGTCAAGATATAAAGTGTGACGAAGATATGCATCGTTAATGATATGACAACGACAATTATAAAGAAAATGAATAGATAAACAGACGAAGAGAAGAAAATGAAAGAGAGATCAGTCGCGCAGATCTCTCTGTAATATCTTTGTATTACTCGATTCCGATTATACATTGTACTAAGTTTTGGTTAATTGACATTTTTTGTTTCTTTTACGTACTAACTAGTTTCCACTTCGTGGCACATTCGTGGATTCTGTCAAATCTCCAGACACGACATTCGCGTATAAATTCACGAGCAATCCACGTGCTTTCTCTATTTGAGTCGCGTTTGAATGGTCTGGATTGATTCGCGAATCGTGCAGAAATGATCAAAGAGTCGCAGAACGTGTCGTTCACACGTTCCTCCTTATGATAAACTGATTTCATCAGGTCAACCACGACGAATCGTACAGATGTAAGAACATCTGTGCGATGGATATACATTCTTTGTGCGAGATACTTTGTTCTTCGGTATATATACATGTATACGTCCGCACTCTTTGCGATGCGAAAGTTTTCGGAGCTATGGAACGTCGATTGTGATTTAATCTTGCCCATCCGGGCGATTTCAAAAGCCATATGACGTCCATAAGCTGGAAAACTCACGCACTCGCAAGTGTGTCATCGAAGTTTTCGAAGTCACGAGAGGACGAATCCTTCCCCTTCCGATTTCTTGAGACTCTCATTAAGTACTAACAATTCCATTATTTTTTTTTGAATGAGTTCCGCGTATAACAATCGCTACATTGCTACGGATATTGTCTAGAAAGTATCGCCATTGATATGATGAGAACATCTATCATATAATCTCACATGGGATATTAAGTTAAACTCGATATTTAAACATCAGTTCATCTGAACGAGATTATCTTCTCGCAACAGTGCTTGAAAGATGTGAAAATACTTTCTTTTCTTTCTCTCTCTCTAGACAATATGCGCTTGACATAACGAAGAAACTATCAGATCAGATTTCGATTTGTTTTCATCGTGCTTTTATATGAAATTCCTTCAAAACACGATTATCGAGTCGTATTCTCGTATTTCTCGTTTTTCAATATATCGTTCAATATTTCTCGTTTCGTTTTATCGCTTTACTTTTTCTTTTTTTCCCTTAAATTTTTCTATATGCGTTTTATCTTACTTAATCGTTACTGCCTACCTATCTACGTACACGTATATACAGCCATCTATGTAAACGGTAAACGTTCTTGAAATATATATATATATATATATATATATATATATATATGTACCGCGGATTTTATTACATATTGACGAAAGGAGGAAGAAAGTCAATTTTTCTCTTCTTTTTTTGGTTTTTCGTTTGATTCTTCTTCTCCCAACGCTTTCTTTCTCTTTTGCCTCTTCTTACTCTCGTCCCTTTCGCACAAGGAACTACAGTAAGCTGTACATGCATACACTTCGCGAGAATCATTCTTTTCACGCTCGCATTACATTACGTACGCACCCGAGTAGGGGGAGGAGGGGTTGGCACAACCCTTCTTAGGAACCGAGCGGGATAAGCGAACGATCGCGCGGTCGTAATCTTTCGAATATATAGACTCGCATCGTTCATCATTTGGATAAACCTTAGTCGTAATGTGAAACTTTATAAAATTAGAAACAACTGCATCATAAAAAAACGCGCGATAAAAAACTGCAAGAGACAACATTCTACTTCGCATTTCGTAGATCACAGACACGGTTCGGTTTATTAGTATCTTTACGAAGAAACGAATACCTTTGCGTCTTAAAAATATCTGCATGTATTCATTCTTGAAATATTCGAACGTATTATTCTATATGTGTATATAGGCGTTTTTCGAAGTGATAAATCTCTTAGAAGTAGTAGAAATTAAAAGAAATAAAGTGATCTTGGCGATCTTGTCTCTCTCTTTGCCAAGCAATTTCTACATTTCGTAACATTAAGTAAACCACACATTTCATCAAACTCTTCGATATTATTTCATTGTGTGTGTATTAAACATTCTTGGATTTAATATCGTAAGCAACATGGTCCAATATACCTCTTTTCTACTGATTGTTATCTCTCTTTTTCGTTTTTATCGTGCATTCATTTTGTACGACCCTTGGTACCCCTTCCTCTTTATTTCTCTTTCTTTCATCAATTTACATCTATATATAGATATATTTTTTCGATATAATATATAATATATATATATTCATTTATTCGCGTACGCATACTATATATGTACAAAACGCTAAATGACTCTGGATATGACTAAGTGAAATTTTTTTTCTTTTTAATGCTCACGCGGAGAGGACAAGTTCTCTCCTATTTATATTGTCATATTTTTCGTGTTTCTCGGTAATTTCTTATCTCGTTATCTAAAAGTTAAGTTATATATATATATATATATATATATATATATATATATATATATAACTTATTTAAGAATATATATATACATATATATATATATATATATATATATATATATATATATATATATATTCCTACTACAAAATTACAAATGCGTAAAGCGTATTGCATTGCCTTCCCCCAAACAGCACGCCTTTCTAATTTCTGTATCCTTTTTTTTCATGTTTTACGGACGACACACGTTGGAACAGTATAAATTCAGACACAAATCACCCGGTAATCTCCAGTCAAATATTTTTCACATCATCTCGAGCACCTTTAATCGTTCGTTTATTTTTCTTTGTTTTCTACAATTTTACGATTTTTTCGATTTAAACCAATGAACCAACCATGTCCTCTGTTCGCAAATTTTGAAGAGATTTAAAAAAATAAACTTTTAAAATATGATATCGACAAAATAATGAAGGCATGTATTGTAATTGAAATATTAATTGAATTGTGATAGACTATTTGGATAACTGTGAGGAAATCAAAATTTTTCTTCAGTCTATCTTTATCAAAACATACTGTACGTAAGCATACGCAACTAAATCTCGCGAAATATGTATATAAATCCAAGAAATAAAAATTCTCTCTTTCATAAGTACGTCTCGTTGCAATCGCATATCGAAATAAACTTCATATTTTTTCAAAATGCATCTTACATGCTTCAAATGTACCCCCAGGTTTTAATTTGTAGTAATAATTCGTGTCACAGTTTCCAATGAAACGCGTGATTAGCGAGCGATCACAGGTTCAATCTCGAGATTCTTCGGGAGGAATTTTTCGCTTCGAAGTACAATCAGCTACTTCCGTCGCGTCACATTTCTCTTCCGGCGTGTTCTGTTGCTCTTCCAGAATTACCTTCCGTTTTTTCGCCGGCTGTTCATCATCGTCGCTCGAAGGCAAACTCTCCTCCTCGGCTGTGAGACTCACCGGTGTGTCGGCCCCTACGGAGTGTCCCCCTACTGCGGTTTTCAAAAATGTACATCCCTGACGTCGGTCGGCGTGCCCGCTTTCTCGTGCTCCAGTATTTTCTCCTGACTTGTATTGTTTTGGTCCCCCAGCGGCCTCTGCGGCGCGCTCGTAACACCGGTACTCATTGTCGGGTGTCCATTTCCGGGATTATCGGTGTTTACGTGGGCGGCCTGCGAGATCATCTCCTCTATCTGCTCTAAGCAGCCATGCAGATAATCCTGTAGGAAAAAATAATGTTGTGATATCGGAGTCAAATTTTTCTTTTTATGCATTAAAAGATAATTTTTGTCGCTTATTAAAAATATTTTCTCTAACTTCCGAAGATGCATGCATGGGCGAATCAAGAGGGTAAAGTTCCAAGACTGATGCGTCTCGCGGGCTATAGCTGTGACCCGAGGTCATGAATGAAAGTCCAGGGAGACCGGATGCCGTCTCGAGGACGATATCTTCCTGCTCCCGGGGGCCTAAACACACGGACGAGAGAGCGGGATCGCTTAAAAATATTGCGCTTCACGGGTCACGGACCCCATGCCGTGCCATTCATTCGCGCTTCGGTTTATTTGCACTAGACGATATAGATGGAGAAAGAAAAGAGGAGAAAGAGCGAGAGAACGCGAAGGAAGAGGAGACGAACCCGGCGACCCCGCTCGCCTCGTCGTCATCGTTCGACGCGCATACGGGGCCCGCAGACCCCGACTCCTTTTTTTTTTCTTCTTCTCTACCACTCCGGCGCGCGCGCGCGAACATGTGCCCGGCACCTGCTCCACCATCTCCTTCCCCGCGCACTTCCCGTCGCGCTTTTTGCCAGTCCCGCGAGTCTGTCTTTCCACGGCCGGACTTGTGCAAAGGGCAAGTTTTATCGTTTCTTGCCGATTTCTGATGTCGAGACACCAGAACATTGGCGGCGCACTGCCAATGACTAGGATTGCACGAGGTACCAAGACTAGTCTTGATATTATGTCTTGTCTCGCAATTCAAGACAAGATCAAAATAAATTTTTTTTACTACTTCAAGCATGACAGTTTTTCGATATTTTATCGAGATGTTTCCCTCGCATTCATTGATATCAAATTTTGGAATCTTGTAGAGGAATGATAAAATCGAGATAAAATAAAGGCAGACGGGCGATCTTGTTTTATGTATGTTTCATATATGTGATACTCTTGATACGAATGCTATTAACCTGTTCAATAGCCGTGATGCGGGTGAGCTCGTCCAGGAGACCGGCCAGCCCGTATCCGCTTTTCCCGGTCCAGTCCAGTCCGTGTAACGCCGCTGCGACGCTCGCTGCCGCTATCATGCTCGGCGTGTACATGGAGAACTTGTATTCTGCACATAAGACATATATATTAAACACATTATTATTTTTCATGTTAAAATATTATTTATTAATATTATTATTTATATGTAAATTATATTAACATTATTACTTGTATATATAAATAATAATATAATAATATAATAATAATTTACATAATTTAATATAAATGTTATTACTTTATGGTTTAAAGTTCAATAATATCGTGTCATTTATGATTTAAAATTCAATAATATCGTGTCTTAATACAAGACAAAATTAATGGACAAAAATACGAAATTAAATTTTGGAAAAAAAAAGTTAGAAGCACATTGTATTAATTTATACATGCAATGTTGAAGGGTTCTTTTAACTTAATATTTAGACAAGTCACATTACATGTTTCTTGTCAATTATTTATCGATTTATGGTTCACGCTATACATAGATTTTCTTAAGGACGATCTCTCTTCACGCGTATTCATTTCATCTTAAGCACATTCTTTGTCATTTACCGTGCCACACGCTGCGAGGATTGGTAAACAATCTTCCCTCAGAGAAGAGAATTTTTTTCTTTAGATATTTCCGGATAGAAGTCGAAATTACGATACGATTTACGATTTACAGGTGGAAACGGACGGAAGACAAGCATGTGGTGATCTTTTGTCCTGCGAAATGTTCTCCACTTCCGCTGTTTCCTCAAAGAGATTCTAATGTTGCAACGTAAACCAGAACAAGTTCAGTTCTCAAAAGGTCCAGGATGCAGAGTGTCGGATGTAAAATCTATTCGTTCTGATCCCGAGCCGTTGTTTTAAAGGTCCCATGATTTTTGTCTTGTATATGTGCGTGTCGTAAAACCATTGCCTAGTTTTTCTAATGCTCGTGAAGTCAGAACGGTGAGACGAGAATTACATCTACGTCAGTGTTTCCCAGAAAATATTTGCATATTTAAATCACAATTTGAATAAGTAGAGAGATTGTGAAGTATGATATTATTATACTAAAATTTTAATAATTGAATTAAAAGTCAAAGCTTTAGAAAAGATTTAAACAATTTTAATTCTAATCTCTGAGAATATTGTACAAAATTCTTATTATATTTATATCCAGAATTCTGTTATGCGTTTATTTAAGTTACTAAATTTGTAATTTTATTTGGTAAAATCGCAGCATTGTTATTTTTACATAGATTCATAAATTTTTATTAATTATCTAATAATTTAATACAATCACAATTTTAGTAATTTTTTTATACTTGAATACTTTTTTATCTTGAGAGAAAAGTAAGATAATACAAAGCTATATGGAATTCAGCTATTTCATCGTCAGTTCATTTTATCTTTATAACTATGTCAACATTGTGCTCTAAATTTTTTCAGTGATTAATTAAGCGTCTTCAGTCTATCACTATTTCGAAAGAAACTAACTAGTATGCATTTACCGCATTCCAAATTTGAATTTAATTTCTACCGAATCACTAAAAAATAGCCTGAACTAAACATCATGAGAAAAAATTGTTGAAAAAATACACATGAAGAAAGAAGGTCATTTACATTCAATGTAACACGTTGAAAAAAAATTTTATATTCGAAAATGTTATAACTTAGACATTGAATGGAGAAATTATATTATAAATTTAATATAATTTAATTTTTAATATAATTTTATATTCAATATTATTAATATTTTTATATTAAAAATTTAACATAATTAACTAATATATTTTAAATTTATAAATTATATAAAAAAAGAGTACGTCCGTAAAATATTTTAATAAAAATCTATCCACAGCGCACTTATTTGCTTTACGCTCCGAAGCCGAAATCAGCTGATAGTTAAATGGCTCGGAGAGAAAGAGAAAGAGAGAGAGAGAGAAAGTGCCTCGGTTATTAACCGGCGAAATTAAGAGCACAGCTTGTAGATATGTATATGTAAAACCAGTTTATAAGGGAAAAAAGACGACGAGAGAGGACGGGAGGTAGGGCGCGTAGATAGCTGTGGAATGTGAACATCAGACGAAATTATCGCACCGGAATACTTGCGTATACCGAAATTCAATCCTCTGCCTGGGAGCTTTTTTAGCTTGCGTAATCAAAACTCGTGTCACGCATCACTTCCCGTCTGCTCTAAGAAAATCTTTCCGCGTAAACAATAATAATTCGCTTGCGTATAAGGCAGTGATTCTACGAGCAATCTCTAAAAAATAATTTTAATATAATTACTTCGCGCAAACTGATTCATTTAATTGCAGTCTATAAATATCACGCAACATTTCAGAAAGATCGTATAGCTGTAAAAATATACTCTATAATATATGAGTGAAAAAATTTGCATTTAAATCACAATTTAATTAATCAGAGATTAAGTATAATTTTAATATATTAAAATTTTAATAATTAATTTATAATTATTGAAAGTTTTAAAAGTATTAAAAAAATTTTAACTACAATCTAATGATATTGTACAATAAATGCATAATGCATAAATATTTCTGTCCTGGATTTGCAGAAAAGTTCTTAATTCTTTATAAAATTTATTTCGTTTAATTTTGATGGATATGCAATCTTTTGTCCTCTTTAACTTATAAAAAGATCTTTTGCTGAGGTAGATAGGTAGATTTCTAAGTGTCACAACAAAAATTTATTATCTTTTTGTATCTGCAGAACATTGTTTGTATAAGATGTAGAATTTATAACAATAAATTCTAGTAATACTTTTTGCCAAATTTAGATCCATTACATTAGATGAATATAAATTTTAATGCTATAGTGAGAGCAATCTTTGAGAAATGATTTTTCTGTGTACTACAGTCGAATTTTATAACAAATATGATTAGTTTTAACGTGGATAGAGGCTCCACAGAAAAGACTTTCTTTCTAAATTTGACTAATAATTAGATATAAATTCTCCCTATCATTTAAGTGCAAAATATACGCGATATTGCAATATTTGCTAATCATTTTTTATCTCAGTTAATTTTTCGCACCTAGAAAACCTTAGGTACAAGACCATTTTTTTTAATGTATGGATATTTCCTCGACTATTTACTCTGTTGGATGTCGATTTGGCGGAAAATTCATCAAATCGTTTTCTCGCTACTCTCTCGCTGTCTCCGAAAAAAACGCGAAGCGCGATACAGCCTAGTTTGGTCCGTGAGAAACAATTCGCGTCTTCATCCTGTCATCGCTCTCCTCTCTCTCCTTCTTTCTCTCGGAACCGTCCAGATCGACCCAATACAAGTACCAGGACCAACGAAGAACGAAGGTCCTCATCGTTCTTTTTGCGATCACGATTGTAATAACAGCCGACCGATGCGGACTTGAGGACGAAAAATCGACGAGAGAACAGAATGGAGAGAAATAATCGCATTGTAGGAGGAAAAGGAGGCACAGACACGCCTGTAAGTTATGTGTGCGTGTAGAGACGCATCTAGGCATTTAAACGCAACTTGTTCTCGCGATCCTTTTTAGCCTCGCGCTATCTTAGCCTCTGCCTATCTTGTCGCGGACTTCCTCGGTTTATTTTCTCTCTTTTTTTCGTGACACGTATGAGTCACATTGAAGAATTTACTTATGATAATTCTTGAAAAATAAATATCTTTTATTTAAAGAAGAATGGAAACTATTATATTATTTTAGATAGTATCAGTGATAATTCTTATTTAACTTTTAAAGATAATTTTTAAAAAGTTTTATTTCTAGAAAATTAATTCAGCACTTGAATTTTCATTCAAAATATATAGTTAAAGATTTAAATTTAAAGTTGCCAATTGATTGCAAATTATAAAGTTGACTTTATTCTCTACTTTTCTAAATTTATAAATATCGTTGCATGCTCTTTTCTTAAATTAATTCGTAGTTTAATTAATTTGACAATACACAATACAAGCTAAGTAGCTTCATAAGAATGCGATCGTAAATTGCTATGGCGTATAAAGAGGAAAATGCGGCGAAATTCCACGACGGATTCCAAAGAAATCGAAGTCGTCCATGCCTAACTATACGTGACTGGGCATTTAAACGGACATTTAAAGCCTTGTTAAGCGGTGCAGGTCTAGAAAATCGAGATACAAAATATTTTCAACATTCGTGAGTTGCTTTTGAATCTTTAAAGAAACTTTAAAATAAGGAAGAAATGAAAAACAGATATCTTTCAGCGCTATAATTAATACTTATTGTGGTGTCCACCTTATCAATTACATCTACCATTGCACCTTTTATTTATTACTTTTATTTATTAATAACGTAGACGAATATTGTAAAATCAGATCCTGAATATAACAATATCAGTAATTAAAAAAATAATAATGTTATCATGCAAAAAAATTGTATTATTTATTTTTTTTTTAATTCGATTTATACAGGCTTTTCCTCATCTCTTTCGAATTGTGCTAATAAACACGAATGATAATGGAAAATGTATAATGATAGTACATAATAAACAGTTTATTCCTTCTAGAAGCACATTCGAAACCGCGCATGTTACTGGCGGCCTCATCTATATGTATATGCGTGACCTATTTAACAAAAAAAGAAGAGAGAGAGAGAGAGAAAACGAAGAAAAGAGGTGATTCGTACGACTGACAAAGCTACGTGACGGTTTCCGCTGTCGATCTATGTTCTACAATGCACCGTGACTATATATTCATTAATGCATATATGTTAATGACGTACGTCCCAAGTTGTTTGCCGCACATATATGTACGTGACACGATTACAACATATGCAACATAGTGCGAAGAAGTGCATTTTAAAAGGCACTCGTCGACTTGCTTCGAAATGTTTACACGTCTCTATACAAAATGAGTAAAACTCGAAACTTGTAAAAGGATTCCCTGACCTTTCAGCTAAATATATTGGCTGCGTATTTTTATATAAATTTTATTCAAAATTCTAGATAAAGAGAATATTTTAAACATTTTTTTGTCGTGCAATTTTCTAAATTTTTTATCGTATATGTTTTCTAATATGCTTTTCATTCATACGAAAGAAAGACGTAGCACTTTTAGTTTCAAGTACTAGATGTGCATACGTTCTGAAAAAACTGAATTACTTTCGTGAAATGATTTTTTACTTGCATTTTCATTTTATCAATAAAGAATATAATAATAATGAGTATAGATCATAGAAAGAAGATCTTAATTATTAATTTTTTGATCGCAATAGCATGTCTGATAATACTAATCTTACTAATTCCTCGAATTTTCTCCATTTTTTATTAATTAACTATTTCTTACCTCGAGCGCTGAGAGCGATAAAGGTTTGTGCGTGCCTCCGGACCATCACGGTGTCCCAAGTGCACGGCATTGGCAATCTATTGAGGATGTGCATTAAAAAATCACCGGGTGTTACCGCAGATAGCTCCCACTTTAGTTTAGAGACGACCAGCTGCTCCCACCTCTGCAACAAATCAGAACAAATGCTCGATTAATTTCATGATACATTCGCTGTACGCAAAAGATATGTAAAGTAGAAAGTGACATTCATCAGTTCATTAGCATTTAACAATTTAATGCGGATTTAGATTAACATAATTTCTCTCGTTATCAAAAAAGAGGAAATAAAAGCAGGAGGCAATAAACTGCATCAATATTTTCAAAAAATATAAGTAATATTAATATTTTATATAAATTATTATCGATATGTTTCAATTATTTTCTTTCAATTAAAAATAGAAAGGTAAAATCAATCTTAAATACGCACAAATATATATATATATATATATATATATATATATATATATATATCAGTATGATAAAAAGATGAAAAGATTTTTGTGCCATTAATAACATTGACTCGCAAAGTACTTTGTAAGATTGCAAGATGTAGCTTATACGAATCAACAAAGAATCATTAGATCTTTTATCTCCATTGAAAAGAGAGAGCGAAAGATCCTTTTCATCGTAGATTAATGGAAAAGGAGCTTCCTTTTAAAAACGCGGAAATATAGGCGCTTTTAATTACGCAGGTGCGACAGCGAATCATGTCGCGCGTCGTCAAAAATCACGGAGCCTTGATCTCTCTTCGTTCCAAGTGTTGAACACGAGAGAGAAAGACATATTAATAGGAGAGGGAAAAAGACGGAGAGAGGTTTGCCCTTTCTCTTCGACGAGGTTACTACGTCCGTTCTCTAGAGTACGTCGTAGTATATACCCCCGTCCGTTCTCTTTCGACCGTGAAATTACACGGCGGGAGTTACGCGCGACGAGTACTACGTGTCCTTCGTCTTGATTAAAAGTCCATTGAATTCGGCGAGGCTTCCCATCGCTCAGCTGTGACGAAACCGGGCAACGTGGTTCCGTTTCAAGCGTGAAAGCATGTTTCATAGAGAATCTTGGACGATTAATATATATATACATATTACATATTTTTATATTTATTTACACATATATATTTTACATTTATATTTGTATACATATGTATACATTTGTATACATATGTATACATATGTATACATTTGTATACATATGTAAAATCAAAAAAGAGAATAAAGCAAAATTTAGAAATAAATACGATATCGGAAAGTCAGCATATTGAAAACGAATATTAAATAAAGAAATAGATGTTTCTATATGATTGTATAAATGTGTAAACTAATAATCATGATACATAATGTAATTATTTTATTATAGATCCATAATATAAATTATAATATAAATATCTATCCATAAAATAAATATATTATACGTATCCATAATATAAATACATTATAAAGAATAATTAAATGTCTATAAATGTATAAATACGTATTTTATATCTCTATCAAATGTGTATTATATGCAAAATTAGCTATTTAGTTTTATGATATGGAACTGCTACAACTTTTACTGCAAACGGAAACTGTAAAATGTCCAAGATATGACTTGCACGAAAGCACTCGTGTTAATAATATTAGTCATGGTACGCAGCATTCGAAATCGTATATAAAATGAATATTTCATGTAATTTTAGTTTAAGCCTATTTTAGACGATCCATAATTTACGGCCTAATTCAAGACAGAATTCTTAATATAGTTATAGATTTTATGTGCCATGTTTTTTTGAGTATTTATTTCGATATGTATCTTGCATATAATATCACGTCTAATTCTTTAAATTCTTTCGTATCTTGTGTACACACAAAATTATAGGTAAAATATGATTTAAAAAATCATAAATCATCTTAAAATAAGCCTTAAGATAATAATTATAATTAATAAAATTATTATAACCATAAAGTGACTAATCTCTCTCCCTCTCTCTCCCTCTCTTTGCCTCTCTTGTATAACCCAATTATATAATTAAAATATTTAATTTTCATATAAATAAAATTTAAAAAAGTTATAATCACTCGGATTATATAACAACATACGAATTTTTATAAAATATGAAATATTCGTATTAAAACTATATCCACGAATGCGATTCTGAAGAGAAAGAAGGCGACTTATTCGTCGTATCACGAGCCAAATTAAAGTCCTCGCCAAAGAGGATGTGCGCTCGAGGGAAGATAAACCGAGGGAGTCTTTCTCTCTCTTTCTCTCTCTGTTTATTCCTCCGGCTTATTCTCATCCTTGAAGGGGTTCCGTGCTCGAGTGCGTGCGTGCGTGCGTACGCTCGCCAATTCCCTCTAGTCTCTCGTCTCTACGCGTCTCTCGTACGTTGGACATCGGGAAACCGGTGAATGAAACAAAGGCTCGTACACACCGAAGAGTAGGAGAATGACAATGTGTAATAACAGCGCGCTGGTGTATAAAACTGTGCTATATTCTATTAGGCAGACCGGATCATCATAATGTCCTACTTTCATTTAGGTACTGTTGTAGTTTTGTCCTTTTTGATGAAACTGATTAATTGCTGTTATTGTCTATTATGTGGGTAAATTCGTTTGATACCGTTATATTCTTGTATTATTATTTCGATTATACACATTTTTATTTTATTATACTGTTCTTCTGGTTTCAGATATAATATATGTACTCCTTTCCTCTCTTTCCATATATGTATATATATTTCGTATAAATTTATATTATTTATCTATCTAAAAAAATTACGTTTATCGATTATAAATATTAAAGATTAATTATTGCTAAAATTGAAAAAGATGTGTGCTCATAAAATCAATAATTCATCAGACATGAATATAAATATATTCATATAAATATTTATGATACGAAATATATGTTATATGGTTGCGTTTAATCCGCTTGACAGATATATATATTAGAACTGTTACTTTTGACAACTTGAAGGAGATTTAAAATTTCGAAAAGTAATAGTGCGAGTGACAAATGCATTCATAGAACGTTAAAAATATCATAAAAAAAGAATTAATAAATATATATGTGCTCAAAAAAGGTATAATTATTTCTGAACATGATGAAATACATAATTAATTGCAATAATTGCATATTTAATATAAAAGTTTCAAATAAAGAATTGAAGGAGGTTCTTATTAAATAAGCATGAACTTTAATAAATTAATTTAATTTAATTTAAATTCTTCGAAGCTTTGAAGATTAAAGTCCCACGACTGCCGTATCGAAATTTCAAAGTCTTCGAAGCAAATCACCAGTCCTATCATATGTATGCGAAATGTTCGGCGCAACGATGCGCGTCGCGTCATCGCTCATCAGAGTGTCTACGATACGCTCGCGGCGCGTGTACGCACGCTACGATACGCGCGTACGTAACGTAATGACACGTAATGATTCACGAGGGGGACAGTGATCTACTTCAGGGATAGTTAAATCAACGATCGGAGCGATGATAAGCGTGCCTTGCGTCGCGTCGCTTTAATGATAAAGAGTACGTTCACCGTCGTGTTCACCCTCTGATACATCCTACCTAATTTCTACATTACATTAAAGTATATTACATTACATCACGCACATTACATTACGCATATTTAGTGTCACGGATACATATGTAAAACGATTTACAACATAATATATATGTAATGTATTAATTGTATTAAAAATTACCAAACACAGTTCTATTATTATTATATTTATTCCTTTAAAGTTTAGGGATTTCGCTAAATTAATATTTGTATTTTAAAAATATTAGCATAACAAAATTTATCATATATATATATGTATAATAATTAATAATTCATTCAAATCGGAGGATTTCCGTTCTATTAATATGCATCAATGTTGTTATTGCTGGATTAAAAAGGAAAGAGAAGTATGTAAGGAGCAAAAGAAATAAGAGGCAAAAGTATTGAAACATGGAAGAACAGGTGTTAATTATGTGCTTTCCCTTTATGCAACACCTTCTGATGTACTTTAAGAATTTAAATGATACACATTTTGTAATTAATGTGTATCAAACCTGTTGCGTCTTCAATTACATCAACTTTTGCAGGCTATATAAAGTTAGACATAAATAATATGTAAAGAGAAAATGAATATAAAATTTGCAAACCGAGCTTCATTTCAAAATAAGCAATAAACAAATTGTAAAAGTTGTAAGAAATAAAATGTAACACATATAATTTAATTACTTTATCATTGCATTTCTATTCTGTGCGTCAGCTTCTAATTTTGGACATGGTATCTATATTTCAAAATCAACTTTAAAAATGATTACCTAGATTTCTCTCATTCATGTATGATTCATTATTTGTTTAGTACATTACATGTTCCTTTCAAATAAATTGAGTACTGAATAATGCATCGGAAGATTAACTTTATTAAAGCGTGTGCACACACGCTTGGAAACATACGAGTTACGGGAAGGATTCGCGCGAAACATGCAAGCATGCATGCATGCGTAGTGGAACACGCGCAATTTAATCGCGTATACGATAAAGGTCGATTCATATTATATGACGTGCACCGGCAACGACGAGGCAGAATATTATGCAGTGAGGAATAATGAAACAGTGGGCCATTTATTACGCGTTCGAGATATAGCGACAATCGGAATAAAACAAAGCTAATGAGACCAGAGGATAATACTCAAAGGGTTGCAAATCGAACAATAAATTTCATTAATATCTCAAAAAGCTATAAATATAATTTGTTCGAACTTATAATTTGTTTCTGTTTTATTACCATACCTTCATGGTGTGTGTTGCTCGGAGAGCAACACACACCATGAAGGTATGGTAATAAAACAGAAACAAATTAATTCTAGAAAATAAATTCTCAATATTAATTTTACATTTTGAATGTATTGCTCTAGTTACTCATTACAAATTTAATACACAATTTTAGTAAAATTAATTTTTAAAATAAATTGTTTTTTCAAATCATATAAATATCATTTTTAATATAAAATTGATTTTTTAAATAAAAAATGCGATTTGTTTAATTATTTCTCTAAGTTATTTTCTGATGTTATTTGTATAATTTTTTAAGGAGATTATATAATTCAAGATAATATATAAAATATATAAAAATATATAAAATAAT